CCAATCACATTCGAAATATGAAGCATTCAACTTTGCTGCAGGTCACCTGAAAACGGCAAATTAAAGCATCGATAACACGACGAGCAGGTAAGTTGCGAGTTAATTACCGTTTTGATATACATGATACCTCTGAATATATTATAGATATTATAGATATTATATTGTAGATAATTATAAATCAGAATTCAGAGCATGAGAACATTCGCGTCAATGCCAATATTTCTCCAAAGTCACGGTACCCTGATTTTCCAAAACACGCGTTCGATCGATGCAGCAGCGCTAAACACACGGTCGTTTGAAATGCCAATCCCGTGGAAGAAAGGGGATCCATCGATCCGAAGCAGTCATCTGGCGAATGAAAGGCCAGGCTTCTAGGTCATCGGGTTGGCAAGTTGATTCCGTTTTCCCCCATCCGACGATTGGGAACTTGCTCCGTTTCCAGCGAGCCTGTATCGAGTAGAACCAGGTTCGATTCGAGATCGTCGATTTCACGGTGAATCGAGAGAGGGTGGCGTCGCGATCGCTCGCAACTCCCAATACGAACAAACGAAACACGGAGCGAGCGCGGCGTATGCGTGTGTAACGTGCGTGCCGCGATTAAAAGCGTCTAGTGACTCTCTCTCTCTCTCTCTCTCTCTCTCTCTCTCGCGGAGGCGCGAATGGCTTGAGATACGGACGAAGATAAGATCGCCAATCGTGGGCGAGAGCAACTCGTGGACGAGGACGAGGACGAGAGGGAAACCAGCGGAAGGGAACTGTGTCTTTATTCTTCCCGTACAGTATGTGTGTGTGTTTGTACCGCCGAAACGAATGAATTCATTTTTGCCCCGGACAGAAACACGCGCCCCTTCCCGGAACGAGAGCGACTTCTCGCCGAGAAGTGTTGCTCTCGTGTTTCTTCGAGCGTTCAATGGTACTGTACGAGCACGAGATGTTTGAGGGAATACGCTAAGAGTTGGTGAAACCGGTTCGTGACAACGGATGGCGGAAAAATTACACGCACATTACAGAGGCGTAAGAGATGTCGAGGTTGTAAAACGTTCGACGTCGAACAGGGAAATAGGTGCCAATTGGAAACAGCGTTATTTGCAGTGGCCACTGAATAATATTAACTTCGTTTGTCTCGAAGCAGTTACAGAAATGGTGAAATGGTCGTTTCGCTGCGTTCGAGCTTCTGCTGCTTTCTTCTCAGCGTGGAAGCAGCCGGCTCGAACGCCCGCGGTGCCCTTTTTACGTTGCGTTCGCGGGCTGTCCGCTCCGAAGGAATCTCTCCCCATCTCCCGAGGCTCGTCACGCGACGAAAACGAGGACCGAGACCAATTAACCCATCACCGCCACTAATTGCCCTGACACGGGGTAAGTAGCCGCTCCGTGGAAGCCGACTTTTATATACGGACTATTCATCTCGCTCGGAGATACCAATCAACGAACAGAGTTAATTAGATATAGCCAGGAGACGTACTTCCAATTGCTTCATTTTCTTTCATTGCGTCGCTAAATATGTTTTCACAGATCGATTCCAAAGTTAACGATTAGATTTTAAACTGTCAACCGTGCGATCATTAACCCTCCATTGCATTCCGTTCCCAACTGGCAACTTTAATTTCAAATGTTCTACAGTAAATTAAGTAGACAATTTATTGGTAGTTGTTT